CCACAACTCCCAATTGGTGATGGGGCAGTTGTGGAGAGAGTGGAGAGTTTCCCATACCTGGGTAGTGTGCTTATGACCAGCTCCGGTCTGACAGCAGAGGTCTCACTCCAAATCAGTCGAGTGGCAATATCTTTTCATCGGTTGCTTAATGCTGTGTGGAAGCTACCTGGTCTGTCGCTCCGCACTAAGCTTCAGGTCTTCTCGGCCACGGTCGAATCGTGGACCCCCCTAATGGAACATCTTCGCCGGTTAGAAACATTTAGGCTGGCCTGTCTATATTCCATCCTGGGTTTAACCAGGCTGGATTATGTGAGCTCACAAATCCTTGAAAGATCTGGATAAAGTCCCATCGGTGAGCTCCTCCGGCAGGCAAGGCTGCGTTGGCTGGGTCATGTAGCCAGCATGCCCAGCCACCACATGCCTAAACAGCTTTTGTTCGGCCGGATAGAGGGGGCTAAATGGGCGCGGCACGGGCTAGAGAAGAGATGGAGTGGTGTGGTACAGGAGGATGTGGACTTGCCGATGACTGGTACCAGCGGTGTCAAGATCGGCCTCTGTGGAGGAGCCTCGTGAAAGACGCTACTGGGCAGTTGGAGCCAGTCGCCCTCCAACAACAACGGAGGGCGGAGGAGCGACGCTCACAACAATGAGCGGAGCGCCGGGTGGCTAACGCACAGCAAGTTGGCACAGTAGGGGGCACCGGTGGTGCATCAGCCAGTCATCTCAGTCAGTCGACCGGTGGTTGCTGGGTCTGCCCCGTGACCTCCTGCCAGCGGGCATTCGACGTTTCACATGGCATCAAAGTGTACATAGCTTGACACAAGCCTCACCAGCACTTAGTGGTGAATGGCGGTTGTTGTGTCTAGTGAGTGTGTGTGTAGTTTGTGTGTAGTTTGTGTGTCCCCTCTACCCCTCTTCCTCTCCAAGACCCCCCCCCCTCCATTCCCGCCGTTCCTCAACCCTCCCTCAGGACTCTCCCCCCCCCCCACCTCTCTGGGCTCCCCCCCCCCCCCCCACTTGCCTCCCCCCCCCCCCTTGCTGGCATCTCCCTCCCTCCCTTAGTGTGCGGTGTGTGTATAGCGTGTATAGTGTACTGAGCATGTGTCGTAAGTGGAGTGAGTGTAATGTGTAGTGTATAGTGTGTTTGTTGAGTGTGTGTAGTGTGTAATGAGTGTCGTGTGTGTAGTGAGTGTGTATAGTGAGTGTGTATGTGTAGTGTAATATGCAGAGGCGCACACGCTATACAGTAGTTGGAGGCAACACGTGTATTAACTTCTCTAACCACTTCGGATTCTACAGCTAGGTGTTGCTATACTGTTCGCTATGTGCGTGCTCGTTAACTATAACGAACTGGCCAGTCAGCACACACGCTGCTGAGCTAAGACTCAACCCTATTAACGAAGAGCGAAGAGACCGGGACCCCAGGACGATCCCCACAAACGAGCCCTGATCCCCGTCGGGGCTCCGCCTTTTATTCTCTGGTCGCGGCCTCGCCCTGCCCTCGGCCACGCCCCCTCCTGGATCAAGTCAGGAGCTCCCGGCTCCCTGTCACGTGTCCCTCGAGCCCCCGAGGGAGGTTCTCGGCGCTCAGCAGCACTCATGATAGTGGCTGGCGCTAACACCGTAGTGACATCAATTATGTCACGACATGTGTGTAGTGTATAGTGAGTGTGTGTAATGAGCGTAGTGTGTGTAGGGAGTGTGTATAGTGAGTGTGTGTAGTGTCTAGTGAGTGAGTGTGTGTAGTGTATAGTGTGTGTAGTGTATAGTGAGTGTGTGTAGTGTATAGTGAGTGTGTGTAATGAGTGTAGTGTGTGCAGGGAGTGTGTATAGTGAGTGTGTGTAGTGTCTAGTGAGTGTGTGTAGTGTATAGTGAGTGTGTGTAATGAGTGTGTGTAGTGTCTAGTGAGTGTGTGTAGTGTATAGTGAGTGTGTGTAATGAGTGTGTGTAGTGTATAGTGAGTGTGTGTAATGAGTGTGTAGTGTATAGTGAGTGTGTGTAATGAGTGTAGTGTGTGCAGGGAGTGTGCCGGCCTTAATGATTTGTTCTCGTGAAGGGGTAACGGGGCGAGCCCTGCACGCAATAACCGTGACCTCCCCCCCCAACACCGCGGTGCTCAACATGACCACCGCATGAGCCGGGGGTGCCGATAAGGGCTGTGAGCCCGTGTCACGTTGTCATGCAGGGAGAGGGATGAGAGCCTTGATCCTGGAGGGGAAGGGCCACGGGATCCCCGGGGTGCCCGGAGAAGGAGGAGGCGTTGATACCCAGAGCCCAACACGTGCGTGTGTGTGTATGTACGTGTGTGTGTACGTGTGTGTGAGTGTACGTGCGTGTACGTGTGTGTGCGTGTACGTGTGTGTGTGCGTATGTGTGTGTACGTGTGTGTATGTACGTGTGTGTGTACGTGTGTGTGTATGTACGTGTGTGTGTATGTACGTGTGTGTGTACGTGCGTGCAATAATCATCACTGGGGAAACAAAGGCGGCCGGGCGTGGTGTCTGGCCACAACAAACGACGCTCGTTCACCATCCCCGGCCTTCACCGGTGCTCATGAACAGAATTGGCCCCAACAGTCCGCCAAGCGGGCTTTCCAAGTTCGATTCCTGCTCACGGTCACAACATCGTTGACTAATATCTGTATCGGTTCGGGCGTTGTGGTGTTGGCCACACCACCACCAACTTCGTGTGCCGTGCAGGCCTTTGCCGTAGTTTGCTACTCGCAGACAGCACTTGCCCCAACAGTCTGTCCGAGGCTATACGGGGGATTTGTTTTAAATTGTCTTTGTGCGCGCGCGCGCGCGTGCGTGGCCCCGCGACGATGGGTTTATGCAGGCCGCGTTGCGGGGATTAGTGCAACGCGTAAAGGGCACGGGTGTGAGTTGTGTCACGCTGCAAAGACAAAGATCCCCCGTATAGCCTCAACAGACTGTTGGCGAGCACCTATTGGGAGCAACCGCACCACTTACTCATTCAAGGCCGAGTTTCCCGCGGCACACTCGCAGAGAGACAAAGATCTCCCATGTAACCCTGAGCGACTTTTGGGGAAAGTGCTGCTGTTAGCGAGCACCTGTGAAGGCCGGTGCTGCACATGCCGGGTGTGGGTGGCCAGCACCACGCCCGGCTGCCTTTGTCACAACGCGCCAGGTACTCATTTGAGGCTGAGTCAACTTAGGGGGAGGCCCAGGACTGCTTCAGAAAATCAAAGACAAATATCCCACGTATAGGCTAAACAGACTGTAGGGGCAAGTGCTGTTAGAGAGCACCTATGAAGGCCGGAATGGCACACGAAGGGGGTGGGTGGCCAGGACCACGCCCGACCACCTTTGTCTCCCCACACCGCACCAGGTACTAATTTTGAGGCTGAGTCGACCTAGGGGAGGTACAGGACCGGTTCGAATAATCGTCGCTGGTGCTGGCCGTGAGAGGGAATCGAACTCGGGTCGCCGGGTTCGTAGCGCTAACCGCTACACCACCGCTCCCCCACTCGCCACTGATGTCACACACACACACCACACACACACCCCACACACACACCACACACACCCCACACATACACGACACCACACACACACCCCACACACACACCACACACATACACCACACACACACCACACACACAGACCACACACACCACACCACACACACCACACCACACACACCACACACACCATACACACCACACACACACCACACACACACACCACACAACCACACACACACCCCACACACACACCACATACACACCACACACACACACCACACACACCACACACACACCACACACACACTCCACACACACCCCACACACCACACACAGACCCCACACACCACACACACACACCACACACACACCCCACACACACAGCACACACACCACACACGCAGTCGCCACAGGCGGCGCCAAAGGAGAGGCGAGGTAGCCGTGTTTGCTGCCGGAGGGGTGATCGGGCGATGACATCTTTCCCCTCCCATCCCCCCCCGCTACCAGTGAAACCCGTGAAGGTGAGACGAGGTTAGAGGAGTGGGGGGGGGGGGCTACACGTGGCAGGCGATAGACGACTGTGGAGACAGCGGCGTGGGTGGGTGCCGTTACCTTGGATCACCAGGAGATGGCACCAGAGCGAAGTGTGGACTGATCGCCGTCTGTCTCCATATGTACGGGGATAGAGCGTTGTCCCCTCGCTCGCTCGCGTTGAGTTTTCTCCGTGGCGTTCCGCTTTTCCTCCCACCTGGATAATAATAAACACGACTCGTCATTGATTGGCTGAAAACTTATTCAATTAAAACCCCACAATGTAGCAGCAGCAGCAGCAAGGCCCCTCCTGAAAAAAACCCCAGTGTAGCTCTCACCTGGATAGATAACAAGTAAAAGTGTTTACACGCGGTGAGAAGTTAAAGGCGCAGCCCTGCAAACTGCTCGCTCACCCCACTGCTGGCGGAAGAGTCTCCACTGGAGGGCGCTCTGAGGAGCCCCCTTTATAGGATATTTGGCCCACTCTTCCACACACTAGCTAGACGCGTTTCAAGAGGTGGGGGATACCCACACTTTACCCCACCTCACCACACGACGACCTGCCAATAGGCTTAACTACGGAGTTACTGGTGGACAGAGGCGAGGTTGGGCTTCTGCTGGTGGCGGGTGGGGTGAGTTTAATAAACTTTTGCACCCCTATTTCAAATGCCGCGCCTGGGAAATCGACACATCACAGGCAACATCGCCTTCACCTCCAGCAGCCCCCCCCCGCCACCCCCCCCCCACCTCGACCCCCCAACCTCGACTCCCCCAGCTCCACCCCCCAACCTCCACCCCCAAACCCCCACCCCCAAACCTCCACCCCCCAACCCCCACCCCCTACCGCCACCCCCCCCACCCCCTACCGCCACCCCCCCACCCCCTACCGCCACCCCCCCACCTCGACCACCCCACCTCCACCCCCCAACTGTCGGAGAGGGGGCGGGGCTGCGGGATTGGCCCCGCCCCTCGCGGTGGGGGGGGTGGCGTCTGATGCACGGCACGCACAGAGACACGGAGACACGCGGGGAGAGACGCGGGGACTCACTCCGATCCCGCAGAACCGGCGCTCATCACCGCTCCCACGTCCAGTGAGTGTCTCGTGTCTCTGTGTCCCGTGTCTCTGTGTCCCAGTGTGTGTTCGTCTCTCTGTCCCGTGTCTCTGTGTCCCAGTGTGTCTTCGTCTGTATGTCCCGTCTCTCTGTCCCAGTGTGTCTTCGTCTGTATGTCCCATGTCTCTGTCCCAGTGTGTCTTCGTCTGTATGTCCCGTCTCTCTGTCCCAGTGTGTCTTCGTCTCTATGTCCCATGTCTCTGTGTCCCAGTGTGTCTTCGTCTCTATGCCCCGTGTCTCTGTGTCCTAGTGTGTCTTCGTCTGTATGTCCCATGTCTCTGTCCCAGTGTGTCTTCGTCTGTATGTCCCGTGTCTCTGTGTCCCAGTGTGTCTTCGTCTCTCTGTCCCGTGTCTCTGTGTCCTGTGTCCCCGTGTCTCTGTGTCCCAGTGTGTCTTCGTCTATACGTCCCGTGTCTCTGTCCCAGTGTGTCTTCGTCTCTATGCCCCGTGTCTCTGTCCCAGTGTGTCTTCGTCTCTATGTCCCGTGTCTCTGTGTCACTGCGTCCCCGTGTCTCTGTCCCAGTGTGTCTTCGTCGCTTTGTCCCGTGTCTCTGTGTCCTGCGTCCCCGTGTCTCTGTGTCCCAGTGTGTCTTCATCGCTATACCCTGCGTCTCTGTGTCCCGTGTCTCTGTGTCCCGGTGTCTCTGCGTCTCTATGACCCTGCGTCTCTGTGTCCCCATGTCATTGTTACCCCGTGTCTCTGTGTATCTTATTTTCCCGTGTCTCTGTATTCTGGTGTCTGTGTCCCCCGTTTCTCTCCGTGTGTCCGTGTACCCGCGTGTCCGTGTCCCCGTGTCCCCGTTTTCTATGCTTCACTGTCCCATGTCAAGTGTCGTTCTGTCCCCGTGTCGCTGTGTCACCGTGTATCAATGGCTCGTGTCTGCGTGTCTTGTATGCTCTGTCTATCGGTGTCCTCTGTCTCTATGCCCCGAGTCCCCGTGTCTCTATACTCCGTGTCTCCGTGTCCCGTCTTTCTTTGCCCTGTGTCTCGTGTCCAGCGAACAAGGGACAAAGAGAGAGAGATACAACACACAACTCACACATACACAGATAGACATTTGGGCATACATACAACACACACAAAGAGACAGACATAGAATGTCTGTGTCTTTGTGTGGGCATGTTAGTGTGTGGGGAGCGGTGGTGCAGCGGTTAGTGCGCTGCACTACGAAACAGGTAGCTTCCCCTAGGCTGACTCAGCCTCAAATTAGTGCTTGGTGAGGTGTGTAAACATCGCCACTGGGGAGACAAAGGCGGTCGGGCGTGATGTTGGCCACCCACCCCCTCGTGTGCCTTCATAGGTGCTCCATAACAGCACTTGCCCCAACAGTCTGTTGAGGCTATACGGGGAATCTTTGTCTTGTCTTTGTTAGTTTGTGTGTCGGTGTGTGTGCGTGTGTAGAGGTGCTCGCTAAAAGCACTTGCCCCAAGAGTCCGGTAAAATAAAAAAAGGCGAAACGGAGGATGTTTGTCTTTGTTAAGGGAGTGAGTTTAGCGAGTGCTGTTGTGATGGGCGCGCTGCAAATATGAATCTGGACAGCGGCCGAGTTGGATTCCCGCTCTCGCGGTCCACATCAGTGGTCAAATACAAAACAAATGTTAACACTTACATGGGACTGTCGTTTTTTAATGGAAAAAGAACGGATGATACTGCACTGGAAACATGATACTCCACTTGTTCGCCATCATTGTTGTCTCCAGAGCCCGGATGCACATTTATTGCGGTATTTGTTGCATCAGGGGCCATCCATGTAGTAGGTACGCGAAAATCTGTCAAAACTTGATCCCTCCTCTCCTCCCTGTACGCACGCGGGCTTTTTACCCCCCCCCCCTCCGCCTGCGTACGTACAGCCTGACGCACCCCCCCGAATCCTATAGAACGGCCGATATTTAATCCACGCAGAAACGATCAAGGATTAATAATATTAACGTGTTTAAGTAAACAGATAGTCCACCGCCCGACTGACTCATTTGAAGGCCAATGTCGACAAATTATTTTCGAGGCTTCACCACCCCCCACCCCGTTTTCCCCCCTCCTCCCTCCATGCGTACGCACTAAATGGATGGCCCCCTATTCTCAGAAGTGTTAACATGTTTTTTTGAAGCACCCTGGACTATTACATGTGAAGCGGGTTCAGGGGTTTTCACCTGAACGACTCAGTCCCCCGCTGCGGTGCGTCAACCCCAGCGCTGGGGGGAGACAAAGGCGGCCACCGGGGTGTGGGTGCCGGCCACCCACTTCCTCGCGTGCCTTACCGCCCTCGATCGGTGCTGGCCAGTGGCGCTTGCCCCAACAGTCTGTTTGAGGCTTTAGGGGCCGTCCATAAATGACGTCACGCACCTGGGGGGAGGGGGGTGGGGGTCAGACATTTGTGACGATGTGTGACGAGGGGGGGGGGGGCGTTGGTTGAGAAATGTGACGTCACATCAAATTGCGCAACTTTAAATAAATATAGACAACACGTTCTACTTAATTAAATAGACCTTTTTTAAATAAATGTTTTCTCCTACAACATTTTTTGTGATGCCGTGTGACGATACGGGGTGGGAGGGGTCAAAAATCGTCCAAAATCGCGTGGCATCATTTATGGACGGCCCCTTACAGCGGGAGGGTGACTTTGTCTGTTCGCCGCCTTGGTTAGTTCGTGCGTGTGACTTCGTGCGTGTGGGGAGCGGTGGTGCAGCGGTTAGCGCTACGCTGCGCTACGAACCCGCCCACCCGGGTTCAATTCCCGCTCACGGCCAACACCCGGTGACGATTATCTGAACCCGTCCTTGGCCTCCCCTAGGTCGACTCGGCCTCAAATGAGTACCCGGTGCGACATGTCAACATCGCCACGAGGGAGACAAAGGCGGCCGGGCGTTGTGTGTGATGGCCACCCACCCCCTCGTGTGCCGTGCCCGCCGTTATAGGTGCTCGCTAACAGCACTTGCCCCTACAGTCTGTCAAGGCTACACGGGGGGGGGGGGGTCTTTGTATTTGTGCCCGTGCAGCGCGTGCGTCATCGTGTCTCGGATAGTGACGAGGAGGGGGAGGTGGGGGGGGGGGTGATGAGCTGGGGGGGGCGGGGGGAGGTCGTGAAAGCGGACGTGTGGCCACGTGAGCGTCGTGTTTGCGATGTTCCTCTAGCCCGCTCGGCCCCTGTCTCACAAGTCGCCTGGCCTCTTGAACGCCTGCAGCCGTGAGATAACGCGTGGAGGGAGCAGGGATTCGTTCCGAACGAGTCCCCGTGCCCTCACACCATACGCACGTGTTCTCACCTCTTGCCTCCTTTGATTGTATGTTGAACGTCTGTCGTGTCTCACGTGTCCCAGCGTCCACCTGTTTGTGGCCGCTAGTGCCCGCGAGGTTATGTAATGACAATGAGTTGTTGTGATACATGGAGAATGAGTGGTATACTCACGTCCCCGTTTTCCCATGTCCCCCTCTTCCTGTGTCTCTGTGTCCTCTTGTCCCCGCGTCCTCACGTCCCCGTGTTCCCATATTCCTGTGTCTCTGTGTCTTCATACAGTGATTATAATTAGTTATACTATATAATATGTCCCGTGTCCCCGTGTCACTTAGTCTCCGTGCTCCGTGTCTCCATGTCTATGGGTCTCTGTGTCCCGTGTCCCATTTCCCCGTGACTCTGCGCGTGTCCCCCGGATCTCTGCGTGTCCCCCGGGTGTCCCCCGTGCTGCTGCGTGTCCCCCGGGTGTCCTCCGCGTCTCCCCAGTGTCTCCGCGTGTCCCCCGGGTGTCCCGCGCGTATCTCCCGTGTCCCGCGTGTCTCTTGAGTCGCCGCGTGTCTGCGTGTCTCCCCCAGCAGTCCCCGCGCTCCATGCTGTCGCGCACGGTGGAGCGGTGGAAGGAGTACCGCGCTCGCTGCCTCGACGAGATGGAGTCCACGCCATACCCCCCACACGCGGCCGGTGCGCGGCGCACGGCCCAGTCTCACAGACCTCCTCATCATCAACCTCATCCTCCACCTCATCTCCCTCCCTCCTCATTCTCTCTGTTCGCCTGTGAATCATCGTTCTCGTTACCCCCCCCTCCTCCCCCCTCCTTCTCCCCCCCTCCTCCCCCCCCTCCTCCCTCCCTCCTCCCCCCCCGCCCCATGCCCCGGGTCGTTGTGCGTGACGAAGCAGCGCTCACTACGCAAGATTAAAATGAAACCACTTGCGGGTCCAGGGGGGCGCGGGGGAGTAGGGGGGGGGGCGATGGAAGTAGGGGTGCTGCGGTGTGTCCTTGTGTCTCAGCCGCTGTCCCCGTGTCTCCAGTTCTACTTTGTGTCCTCTTACCTTGACACTTGTCTCATTTGCGTCCGTGTCCCCGTGTCTCCCCTCGTGTCCCGTGCCTCACCCCGTGCCTCACCCCGTGTCCCCGTGTCTCCCCTCGTGTCCCCGTGTCTCACCCTGCGTCTCCCCTCGTGTCCCCGTGCCTCACCCCGTGCCTCACCCTGTGTCTCACCTCGTGTCCCCGTGCCTCACCCTGCGTCTCACCCCGTGTCCCCGTGCCTCACCCCGTGCCTCACCCCGTGTCCCCGTGTGCGCCACGCAGGCCGCTACTGTAACCGCACGTTTGACAGCTACGTGTGCTGGCCGGACGGTCTCCCGGGGCAGAGCGTGAACGTGAGCTGCCCCCCCTACCTGCCCTGGTCCGACAGCGGTAGGGACCTGCCGTGACACCACCTGACCCCACCGACCCCATCCTGACCGCGCTCAACCCCTTTCTGACCCCTTCACGACCTCGTCCTGACCCCACCCTGACCTCACCCGACCCCTTCCTGACCCCACACAGCCCCCTCCTGACATCTTCCTGACCGCCGTAGGGAGACCCCTTTCCTCATACCACGTTGACCCTACATGACCCCACCCGATCCCACCTTGACCTCGCGTGCGACGCGACGCGACATTTGCGCAGCATCTGGAGGCCACCGCGCCTCAAGATGCCGTGCGGCAGCACGGCGTGTGACGCGCGTCATGTGGGATATCACGCGTACTTGGTGCGCAGTGCAGGCGCTCGTGGTTTACAAGAGGAAGGGGTTGGGATCGGCCTTGAACAGCGGCGGGGGTTCGAGAGCACAGACGGCTGGGGGAAGGGGAGTTCCCTATTTACGGCATGCGGTGACGCGGAAACTCCAGCAAAAAAATTTGCACGCTTCAGTTGACGGTCAACGTTCGGAGTGGACTGCGACCCTCAAAGGAACCGCGCCGCTCCCGTGATCCCTCACTACCCTCCTCCCCCCCCCGTGATTCATAGATCAAACAAATCACTCGAGACGCCGGTGTGTGGCAGCCAAGACGCAGTTCGTGCGAATGCTTTCGCAAGAGGTCACGCGTTTGGCGCGCCGGTCCTTCGCCGACTACGCGGTCGGTCACGGGTGGCCATTGGAACGCTCGCGGAACCGAGTTCGATCTCTGGCCGCCGTCGCCCACACTCGAGTTGGCGACGGAGCAATGAGGCGACCGACCGGGTGGCTCGGAGGGCAGAGCGCCGAGCGGGCGCCTCCGAGAGCGTGGGTTCGAACCCGGGTCTTAGCCGCTGGGTTCTCAACTGTAAAACCGTCAACTATTTTTATTTGACCAGGTAAGGGCCCCACTGAGTTACGTGGCTCTTTTTCGAGAAGTGACCTGGCCACAAATGATAGCTCAACGAAGTGGCTTATCACGTGGAAATGTATAGCGGACAGATCCTCTAAACGCACGATGTTGATTCTTAATGTGGTGGGAAAAAACCGGAGGACCCGGAGGAAAATCCACACGACCACATGGAGAACACGCAAACTCCCAATATACAGCAGGTGTCGGGGTCGGGATCGAACCCACGACCTGTATACCAGGCGAGGTAGTTAACATCTCCTACCCACCGTGGCGCCCATAGCGAGTGGAAGGTCTCAGGGTGGTCACTCATCGCTGCACACGCACACACATAAAAAACCCCCGTGACATTCAATTTTGTTCGGCCAAATGCCAGCTCTTGAGAATTAACGACGGGTTGGCTGCAGCCATGCGGTGTGGATGAGAGGCCACCTTGAAGGGCTCACAGAGGTAGCTCTGTGATGTCCGCTTCCGCGGGCCGCTCCCCACCACCGAGGGTCGCACTGTTCTGCGAGAGACGAAGTGGAATTCGTCGTCTCGGCACCCCGATGAGACGATCGTGATGGGGCGTGGTGGCGGTGGGGGTGCAGCAGCGGCGTGAACCACCGATTGCACCTTCGCCTTTTACCTTTACACTCACTCAGAGTGGCGCCATCACTGCCCAGAATTCCCGGCTCCAGATCCCGCCCTGGTATCGGCGACATCTCCAGCTGCGACCAACCCAGTGTAGCCCCCGGGCATCCCCCGCCACGCCCCCACCCTACCCCTCCCCATCCCCCCATTTACCCCATCCCCCCGGCCCGGCTTGTAAAGAACAGCTGATGACCCGCGTCCAGGTCACAACGAGAACATTTTCTCTGAGGCTACGGGGTGATTGGAGGGGCGCGGGGAGGGCGGCGGGGGGGGTTATAGGCGCTCTTCATTCGTCACTATCTCACCATTGGCATCACGATCTGCGTCATCGATATCAGCTCACCATCATCATGATGAGCGTGATCATCTTCATCTCATCATCATATTCATTATAGCATCGTCATTGCTTGAATTTGCCCGATCTGGTCGCGTCTCGCAAGCTCAGCAGCGTTGAGCCCGGTTCCTTCTGTGATGGGAGACGCCCTGGGAATGGGGCGCGTGCTGCAGGCGTGGGCTGCGAGGCGGACCGGGAGATGGCAACGCAGCAATTTATTCTTGAATCCATCTGTGCGGGGCTTTCACTGATATCCGCTTGTGCGGATGGCGGAGGGATTTCTCCGGGTTTTTTTTGGCGTCGTCAATGGAATTGGCCAAGGGATCCCTGGTGTGGCAGGACCCTCCTGAAAAGGAGTCTTGAGACTCGTTTAAGCCTTCCCTGGGTAAATAAGCGCATCAGCAACAACAACAACAAAAATATTAACTACGTGCTGTATTTCAGGCCAAAGGTCCTCGCCATGCTCTGAGCAAATCCACGATTTCTTAGCGCAGTGGGTCAGCAACCTAAGTAAGGAGAAGAGTCTCGAATTCGTTAGCAATAAAAAACACAACTCCGTATTTCGAGAAGCCGCGATGAACCCAATGAACGCGAGGAGGTTTTGGTCCTCAGTGGAGAACGTCACGATGGGGTCCTTGAAGAGCCGCCGCAACCTGCGGGCTACGGAGCCGCAGGTTGCCGAGCCCTGGTCCAGCGAGCGGACAGAGGAGGTGCGGTCGTCAGCCTGGCACGCCGCTCACCGCCGCTCACCGCCGCTCACTGCCGGTGCATTCGACGCCAGTGGCACCCGCGCCGAGGCCCGCATCTGCCCAGGGCTGAGTTTATAAAAAAAAGACGCTGAATCGGCGGGAGATGCTGCTGGTGGCGGCGCTCATCATGGGGAGCTCCACGTCGCCGGCTCTGTCCGGACGAGCCAGAGGATGGCTTCCCCTCGTCTCCTCAACCTTCCTCCTTGGGACACCTCCCTCTCCCTTCCTGCCATCCCTCTCCTTCCCTCTCTCCCTGGGATCCCCCCCTTCAATCCTATCCCAGGGCCCCCCCCCCCCCCCCCTCGCTGCTTATCCCCTCCTGGCAGCTCAAAATCCTCCCGGGGCCACCCCCTCCCTCTCTAGGGTACCTCTCCCTCCTCTCCCTCCCCAGAGTCCCACATCCCCTTCCGTGGGCTCATCCCCCCTCTTTCTCCCTGAGCCCCTCGCCTCTACCCCCTTCCTGGGGTCCCTCTCCCTCCCTGCCCCCCTCTCCCTCCCTGGGGTCCCCCTCCCTCCCTGGGGTCCCCCACCCCACCCCTTGTTTTCCGGGGCCCCCACCTCTCCCCGACGCCGCTCCTGGCATCTCCTTCCCTAGGGTCCCAGCAGTGCTGTGCCTGATGGAGATGAATATATATATTCCAGTGTGTGTCGTCAGTGTGTGTAGTAGTGTGATTAGTGTGTGTCTTGGGTGTGTTTGTGTGTGCGTGCGTGCCAGTATGTGTGAGAAGTGTGTGTGTTTGTGCATGCATGTTTGGATATGTCGGTGTGTGTGTGTCCGAGTTGCTTTGATGTGTGTTGGTGAGGCTTTGCGTATGGTAAGGGTATTAGTTTGTGTTAGTGAGTGCCTTCATGTGTATATGTTAGTGTGTATACGGATGAAATGTGGCTTACACATGTAAATTATATTTATATATTAGTATGTTTGTTTATCTGTGTGTATATATTAAGATGTGCATGTTAGTCTGTGTGTCGGTAGTGTGGCAGTTAGCGCCCCGAGTTCGATTCCCGCTCACGACCAATAATAGTCGCGAATATTCGAACCGGTCCTTTGCGTCCCCTAGGTAGCGTGAACGAGTATCTTGTGCGATGTGTAAAACGTCGGTAGGAGGGAGACAAAGGCGGCCGAGCGTGGTGTTGGCCACCCACCCTCTCGTGTGCTGCGCCAGCCTGCATAGGTGCTCGCTAACAGCACTTGCCTCAACAGCCTGTTACAGGCGACATGGGGGACCTTTGTCTTTAGATGTGTGTGTGTTGTCGTGTCGCATAGAGATTAATGAGTCCTGCCTGGTTCCGTTCCACTCAGCTCCGCTGACAACATTCCAGAGCCACACTCCTCCAACCACTCTGCTCCAACCACTCTCACTCCTCCAACCACTCTCACTCCTCCTACCACTCTCACTCCTCCTACCACTCTCACTCCTACCACTCTCACTCCCCCAACCACTCTCACTCCCCCAACCACTCTCGCTCCCCCAACCACTCTCGCTCCTCCAACCACTCTCACTCCTCCTACCACTCTCACTCCTCCTACCACTCTCACTCCTCCTACCACTCTCACTCCTCCTACCACTCTCACTCCCCAAACCACTGTCACTCCCCAAACCACTCTCACTCCTCCTACCACTCTCACTCCTCCTACCACTCTCACTCCCCAAACCACTGTCACTCCCCAAACCACTCTCACTCCTCCTACCACTCTCACTCCTCCTACCACTCTCACTCCCCAAACCACTCTCACTCCCCCAACCACTCTCACTCCCCCTACCACTCTCACTCCCCCAACCACTCTCACTCCCCCAACCACTCTCACTCCCCCTATCACTCTCACTCCCCCAACCACTCTCACTCCCAAAACCACTCTCACTCCCCCAACCACTCTCACTCCCCAAACCACTCTCACTCCTCCTACCACTCTCACTCCTCCTACCACTCTCACTCCTCCTACCACTCTCACTCCTCCTACCACTCTCATTCCTACCACTCTCACTCCTCCTACCACTCTCACTCCTCCTACCACTCTCACTTCCCCAAACCACTCTCACTCCCCCTACCACTCTCACTCCCCCTACCACTCTCGCTCCCCCTACCACTCTCACTCCTCCTACCACTCTCACTCCTCCTACCACTCTCACTCCCCAAACCACTCTCACTCCCCCTACCACTCTCACTCCCCCTACCACTCTCGCTCCTCCTACCACTCTCACTCCTCCTACCGCTCTCACTCCCCAAACCACCCTACCACTCTCACTCCCCCAACCACTCTCACTCCTCCTACCACTCTCACTCCCCCAACCACTCTCACTCCTCCTACCACTCTCACTCCCCCAACCACTCTCACTCTTCCTACCACTC